CAAGCTTTTAACGGATTTTGACTTGTTTGCATATGGGATTGGTGAATCTCATTGTTTTGACTTTTGAATGATCTGAGATAGCATCAAAGAGCAGGTTATATAAATATTGATCAGACACTTATACGTTGCTTGACCGACTTTGTTTCCAATTTCAGATTGCGATCTGCAATAAGTATCTCTTTCTCTTGGCCGCATTGAAAGGCACCTTTTCGATTGATTACATGCAGTTTTGGGTAGGTCCAAATGAACCGGTTTTAAATTAAAGGGGACCTTCAAAAATTGAAGACAATAGACGCGAAAAATGCATGTTCGCGAACCCATAATTTTCAATTTCGAAAATAATTGAACACGTGCACCGGCTTTAGTAATTATGATATTCAGTGAAATAATTAGCTAAGTACTCGAGTATGCACTTCCTCCCATTCAATACATTTTTAACATAGTTCGTGATTAATCGTGGGCAGCGTGCGTATCACTAAGTTGCACAATAAGTAATTAGTGCTCTTCCTTTTAATTTAAATAAAATCGTAATTATTACATGTTAACCTCTGGAATTGCATCCATTCTCAATCAGCTGATATTATCTTCCGAAATGCTTACTGGGGAAAGCGTTTTTGGAATTTTGTCGGAGAGCATTGACCTAAATTAGAAATCATAAAGACTTAAGGTCTCATTTCCGAGGATGTAAAACAAAAATGCTAATGCGATTGTGTAACCACGATTTTAATTTCGATGTATGAATTTGTCATAACGCGAACAGAATTCGCAAACTTTCACTGTCCATAACAGGTCTATATTGATTAAAACGTTCAATCTTTACCTAGTTATTAGAATTTGAAAAAGCGGAAAGCTGCCCGAAGGCGAAGGTTGGTTCGGACGAGTGATCTAGTCGAAACGAAATTATATACGTGAAATTTGTAATGATATAGTCCTCAATAAATTACCTTCAATTGAAATCCTAGGAAGTCATTATTAAAATAAGTTAACTTACAATTTTCTCGCCGTTCTCCGAGCATGATTTGGTACCACCCGCCTATGGCATAGGTAAGAGAAAAAGCTAAAACCCCTGCAGTTTGATCGAGGGCACCTTAAAATTTCAAGGCAAACGCCTTAAATGCGAAATGAATCTTACTAGCTTAATTTCAGTTCCATAAAAATCTGTTCTGTATCCTCCTTTACCCGCTAGGTGTAAAGGGTGACTGGGATTTGGAACTTAATATCCGGAATGTATTATTAATCGAAGGTTGCTATTAGATAAACGTTTCAATTTCAAAATCACTGCACCAAGGTTGTTTGTTGTATGGTAGCGGATAATTTTCAATTGCAGTTCAGGTAAAAATGTTTCACCTATTTTAATTGTAAGAAGGCTGCAGGTTAAGTGAACGGTCACTGGCACGTTGTTTCGTAATCGCAGCATAAAGACGCAAAACGACTATAAAAAACGCATCCATCACTTGAGGGTGAAATCGCGGATCGAAAGTGAGATGGACGTTTCACATTTCAAATCGCAATTAAATTCATTTTCAACCTCATCTTACGCGATCATTACAAAATATCGTTAACTACTCAAGAAGAACAAAAGTTTCACTTTAGACAAACGATATGAAAATTGATTTAATTTGACATAACCCGACAATATCAACTCGGCTTTGTTCCCTGAAAATATTGTGTAAGTAATTGGTCGGTCTCAATTAAATTGGCCGCTTGATAATGTGTGAAAGGTGTCGAAATTGAACATGAAAATGAAAGGCAAGGCTTTAATGCTGTCTGATATGGCCTTGTTAAGACGTTAATAGTTGATGAAGATGAGTTTAGTACACTACCGCTCAATTATAGTCTTGATATTTTATTAATTTATATTGCAGTACAGATTTCCTAATATGATGTCAGGTATTTCATACATTTTATTGAACGAGGCGATGTATAAACCCCATTTAGTATTTATTAAGCTCACCTAATTATTTAAAAAGTTGCACAGTATCGCGGTTATTTTAACGTAAATTTTGTGTGGCAACTCTTTTTGAATTATAGACAAATGACACATTCTGAAAAGAATGATTTTCGAATAAAATAAAAAACGTAGCTAGAACACAATTTCCAAAAGAACATTGCAGTAACCCCTTCTCGTTTCTGATGTCACTTCGTATGAACTTCTTAGTAATTACCAAATTTATAAACTCATGCCTTTCATCACGATTGTTTGATATCCTTCCTAGCTTTATGGCATATGTCAAAAGATTTCACTTTTTATTAGGTGTCCTGAAATGCATGCATTATGATACTGAAATTATGCAAATTCGAAAAAAAATGCATAGTAGGTATAAAAGATACCCCCGCAATAGTTTTTTTTTAAATAGTGCGGGAATATAAAACGGATTCTCTGAAAGCTCCGCTTAAAAATTAACAATTAAGGTCAACTACGCCAGGCTTATTGTGAAACGCTTTTCTTTCATGATAAAGTATTAATAAAAGACGAATTCGGATAAAATAAGCTACTTCGGTGTTATAAAAAACTTGGGAGATAACAAGATGGGTAAAGGACGATGTACATTTTAAATCCGGGTGGCCGAAAGGAGGGACGTTTTAATGGGCAGATAAAACACTTAGATCTTAAAAAAGAACAGACACCCTAAAGAACTGACAAATTCGAATGGCACTAAAAGCTCCTAACCTAACGTCCTGTAGACTACCACAGTTTTATGAAGTCTCCCGAAAACTCTTAAACTCCCAAGGCTCCTGTTTTTAAAAATTATTCAAAACCTATATCTCGATGGCTATTCGAGATTCTTAATTCAAATACTTAAATGCTCTTATAAACACATTGAACTTATTAAGGGCTCAACTATTAAAAAATACGACTATAGGTTTTTGAAGACTCTTTAGAACTCTAAAAAGACTCCTAAAAGCTCTCACGGATTCTTATGGACTTTAATGGCATTAAACAATTTTAAACGCTAAACAGATTCTACAAGTCCATTGGCGATTGCTAACAAGCTCATAAAGATTCAATCCTTAAAGTTTCTTAAATGCTTCCTAAATACCCTCTGGGATGTTTTAAGATCTCGGATATTAAGAGCGCTGGACACCACGAAAGCTTGTGTATGATGCAGTTTTTCAAAAACTATTCAAAGCACGGGTTAGTGCATTTTTTAAAGTGAAGACTGCTACGTTGGCAGTAAGATTCAGATATGGATACAACTGACACGTGCAATTGATAGACCCTCTTAATTTGGATTTTTGGGTACTTTTCACAATAACACCGTAGTTCCAAAATGGCGAACCACACTTTTATAAACATCTCTTATAATGCGGCATCCATCAAAATTTTCCATATTGATAATATTGTAGAGCAATATAATATAATAATGATATAAATTACAGACGTTTTAAAAATAATTCGAACGACGGTTTATAAGAAGGCCTCTATTTCTAAAAAAGCGTGCCGGAAAAGTGTCTAAAATTCCGAGATTATTCTCAAAGATTTTTCCAAAAAGTTTCCTGGGAATTGAAGTAATTTATAATTGTTCTTAATCACCCAAATAATGTATCAAGGAAGAAGCGTAAACGGATCTCTACTATTTTGAAGAAGTTGGAGCGCTAGAAATATAGGAAGGAATAGGAAGACCTAAAACATGATCTTTACTAAAATTCATAGACAGAAAGGATGAAACAACCTTAGCTAATCTTACAACAGAAATTCAGCCATTTCATTTTTTTGGAAAAGTTCAGTTGCAATCTTCATTGTAGGGCTCATAAAATGTTTATTTTTCATTGAATTTTGATGAGATATACCACAATGTCTGCAATAGATCCCTTTGTAAGTAGTAGGTAAACTTTAACTTCCTAGCTCGAACTAGGTGGCTATTCTTCGTTTCTGCCAGAGTATAATAATGAAATTAGGAACAGGTCGAATAATATATATAAATTATTTATTGATTGATATACAGGGTGTCCCAGTTGTCTTGAGACAACAATGATTTCTTCATATGGAGGCCAATTTAATGGTGTTGCGCACATTTTCACATAAGGGACAAGTGTAGGGACAACTTAATTTTTTTAAATAGGTAAAAACCTAGCGGTTCGCGAACTTGAACTGATGTCGTTTTAAAACTGCTTTCCATGAACAAATACATGGGTAAAAGTATACCATTAGCATATTAAATGCGCAAGTAGCATGTTTCAGGAGCTAATCATCCTCGATTAAAGTACAATCGAGAGTATAGGCATATTATGCGCTCCCCATCTCTTATTTTGCTTCATCGCTACCTCATTCATCCAAAGAATTAGATGAAATTAATGCAGCACAAAAGCCGTGCCTTATGTTGTAATGACGTCTTCCAAACAAAGAATTGTCTTCGCAAATTTGTAATGCAAATGATTGTTACATACTTTTAGACACTCCCAATTGAAACTATTTCTTATTTGAATATGGGGGTGAGACGTATACAATGGAAGGCTGAGTAATTAATGTTAATTATTGACCTATGCATTTCCATTATGGTGCAAACGGGCATTATTAAATATTGCATCGAAAACGACAATGCAAAACGGCAAAAAATGGAAATTTGTAATATCCACCTAAATACTATCATTATATTTTTTGTAATTTATAAGATATTACTACATACAAATCCGTTTTTAATTGTGAAGACATCGCGTGTCGAATTTATATTTTAATTCTTATTAATATCTTCCGTGATTATTGAACCTGGTCTACTAGAAATATTTATGTAAACTTTCAGAATTCTAATGTACTTCCGCTCGAGCTCGAGTTAAGAAGAAAGCATAACATTAAAGCATTTTAAACGCAAAGTATGGCTCTTGTCGTTTTGCTTTCATTTATTGATCAGATAAATTAACTTGCCTGACAGGTTACTTACTTACTCGGCCAGAACATAATCTATTTTTCAGTACATAAGAGAATGGATACCCTTGCGAAATTATTTTCCGTGCCGATGTTGTAATTAATTTTTAATAATAATACTATTATTCTGTTACAGAAACATGACTCGTCGGATTTGGAACCAACACCACAGAAGACTATCAGGAGTAGGGGGCGAACTAGATTTTCAATTACACCCGAGTTCGAAAATGTCAGTGAAGATTACGAATTAGTCAAGAAAGTTCAAAATCAAGAAGGGCCTCGGCGACAACCGGAAAGGAAACCTCACAAGGTGGCGCAGGATGCCATTTTCAGCAGAAGATCGTATGAGGTGCGAGAAATCGTGGACGATATCCCACGTGAAAATCCTCCTAGGCTCAAGAAGAAGCCTCATGTTGTCACCGAGATGAAATTTGAAGCGGCGAATGCCCCGCCAAAGGAAATAATAACGCCAACTCCATTACCTGAAACTGATGTACCTGTAAGCAAACCCGCCGAGTCAGTCGCCGAAAAATCGACAGAAACAAGCGTGGAACACACAAGTGCCGCACCAATCCCAGATCTTAAACGTAAATCTACAGAAGCACCAGACGTACGCCGGTTTCATTCCAGAGGGCGCCAGCTCCCTCCTAAAACCGAAGAGCCACCAGCTAGTAGAAGCAGATCGAAACATGTACAAAAGCAACCTGGCACGCACACGACTGCGGCCACCACACCTCACAGATCGACCTACAGAGTGCAGAGAAGGCGACTCGAACCCACCGCCGAAACCGCACACGACTCATTGCGTACAAAAGGACCGTCAGTCTTTTCGGCGGAACCCGCACATGAATTTCCCAGCCGAGCCAGAACTGGAAGAAAAGTAGTTACTCAAAGTGGCGAAGATGTCACGGAGAACACGGTGGTACTGAGAAGGCGTCCCAGTCGGAGGTCTAAGACTCTCGATTCCGTCACTGTTGCCCCCAAACCGGAGACCAGCAGTCAGCAAAACGTGATTGAGCAAGATGCAAGCCCTCCTGAGCGTAAAGTTGAGTCTAGGCGAAGCAGAGTTTCGACCTCAACGGAGGCATCCACGACAACTCGCTCAGCACGTCGAGGTGTCACCCGTGTTCACCAAGATGTTGAAGCAACAACTATTCGCCAAAGAACGAGAACTCGTGCAAAAAGCGAGAGCGTCGTGACCACCCCCACGCGCGCTGTCTACTCAAGACGCCGCCAACCGACCAGCATCGACGACATTGACGCCGCCAGTACAAAGCAAACCGAAGTTAAAGTAAAAGTCTTCCCACCTCCCGATTTCGAACCTACGAACGTAAGGGTGTCCCTGCAAAGAACCATTTCCGAAGAAACCCAACCGGGACGTATCGTCCGAAAACGGCTCCACCATGTACGAAAATCGCCTACGAAGGCTAACGAAATTGTCGAACAGACACCCTCAGTCGACACCTTCGATGCCCCCCGCAAATTCGACCTACTCAACTTAAGACAAAATGAAGAAAGAGGGCCTAGGCCTTCTCAACAGACCACCCGCAAGACCACCAGAAGCAAGCAGCAAACCGTCGAGAAGGCCTCCAGCTCTCAGGATAGCGTCGACGAAAGCGATAATTACCCGGCCGCTTTCAAAGCCGCCATCATTCAAGCCAAGAAGAAGAAACACGTAAATATTTTCGTTTCAGATTTATTATTGCGTGTATAGCTTGCCTAACAAGCCACGTAACAGACCTTTCCATTTCGTATTTAAATCGAATTTAATCGCGTAGAAAGGAGGGCAAAATACAACCCGCCCAAATGACATTTCATCATCTTTTATCGATACTAACGTATAAAACTGTGTTCAGGGTCTTCTTGGGTCAAGGACGTTAACCGCTAACGAAGCTTCCGTCACGAAGACCGCGGAGACGACGACCGTGACTTCCTCAATATCTTCTACCAGTTCGAGGTCTTCTTTTCCTTATCCGGACGCGGTTACGTCGGCAGCTTTGAAAAAAGTAAGTTTATGGCCACGATTGCGTTTAGTTTGACGAGTAAAAGAATGTGATCAATGACATGTTTATCGGGAAATGTGCGAAAATAGAAAAGTGCGAGGAAAAGTTCGAATTTGGCTTTATTTCTTTGTAGGGACTGTGATAAAATAGGTAATAAGTATATACGACTAATTTCGCCCCCCCGCCCCTCGCATAATAAAAGCGGTTAATGTAATACAGTTTGTTACACTTTAGTACTGATTTTTGAAAGAGAAATCTGATGTATTGTTATGGAAACGATTTAGTTTTCAAAATTTTCGTTGCTTAAAAACAGTTTATTTTCTTTACAATGAAAAATCTATAATTAAGAAGTTAATTAAAGTAAACACACCGCCCACTTTGCATCAAGTACAATACTGAAGTGATTCTAAAGTAATACCCCTTCGATAAATGAATTTGAGGAACATATTCGCTACTTGAAAGTCGTATAAACCTAGGACTGATGCCAAAAATTAACTGAAATTCTTATTTGTTAATAAAATTTCGTCGGAAAAACGACAGAACACATATATCCATCCATGTTTCTTTACTTTAATTTACTAAATAATTCATAAAATATGGACCGTTTTCGAGTTTTAAGAGAAAAACTGAAAAAAGTCTGAACATTTTGAGGTTTTTTGGCTGCCAAAAGTTGTGCCGGGAAAAAAAGTGTGTGCACTTTTCAAATAGGTACATGTTATTTGGACCCAAATGGACCATTTAAAACGATAAAATCGTGTACACCACCTTTTGCAGGAATCGGCCCTTCTGAATGCTCCGCATACTGGACTATTAACATTTGTCAATATCAACTATTTGGATTATTACATAAAGCCAAAGTTTGTATCCTACTCAATAGCCATGCTCTTTCTCACGTAAACACAAAATAACAGTTTAAGTAATTATTATATAATAAACCTATAAAGGCTAATATATGTAGCAATTTAAAACATGTAAACCTAAATATATGGCATTGAAATTGACCAATTTAAGAAAGTGCATTTTTTCACAGCAAGAACCCCGCGGCCATACTTATTTAAAATAAACACGATAATTATAAAATTCCTTAGAACAAAATTTTCCCGAGAAAAAATGATACGTCCACTGTTCTTCATTGAAATAGAACATTTCTTCCGACACTTTAATACGAAGAACACTCGTCAGGTAAATCAATAGCGGTTATGCTTATAGATTAATTTTAATTCCCACTATTTGCATGAACTGGGTCTATATTAAATATACATACTTTTTCCTAGTTGATGTATGCACTTGCGATACTCCATTTTGGATTTAAACCATTTTTTTTAAATTTTTATATCAGTTTGATAGATGTTGAACATTGTTTTTTTAATGCAAATTAGAAAAATTGAAATTAAAACTGAACCTGAAGCATATTGTACAGTACTTTCCTATTTTTTGAATCTGATAAAATCAGTCACGTTACAATTTTCTATAATGAGGTGGTTTCCAGGATGAGGAAACGTCGACAATTCGCGCATCTAGGTATCCACCTCGGCCTAGATTTTCTTTGACTACGAAACAACCGAAAATTCCAGAAAAGGAGCGCGAAGTTCGAAAGTACAACTCGTACAAATCTAAGTACCCCAATCCTGCCGTCGAAAATGAGCAGAGCCCCACAACCCAAAAATATCACGCGAGGTACCACGCCAAAATTCAAAACGATATCGACGTCCCGGTCCCACCAAGACCGCCGATTAAAACCCGCAATTACATACCAAAGCCACCAAAGGGTATCTTCAGCAGTCGCAGATCCGCCACTGAAGAGAAGCCGATCAAAATTGAAATTTCCTCGCTGTCGACGAAAGTGAGCACCCTTACCTGTGTTGTCGATTAATGTGTACTTTAAATGCTTCCAGGTACCACCGGTAGGTCTAAGTGCCAGAAATCGATTTAGCGCGCGTTATCGAAATGAGATCTTGCCCAAATCAATCGCACATCGCCAAGCGACAAACGTTCCATCTTACACCCCGACTGTGCCAACAGTCACGCCGCCATCAAGCACCGTAAGTATTTTATTATGTTAACAACAAAGAAAATAAAATAGTTACACCTTGACATTAACTGACATCGGGGACAAAGACAGAAAATTTCCTCTCTTCACCAGGCGATACACTAATACGTCTTTGTCTTTTGCTCTAAAGGACCATTACTGGCCAGAAGAAGATATGACTGACTACCAATGGTCTAGCAATCGTATTAATTGAAGATAGACCGACTACTGTTGACGATCATCACTTCCATATAACGCTTCCGCATTACTCTTCTACCATTAGTATCAAACATTCTTTTCATATGGGCGATGGTTATGTATAATATTACTATTTAGTTCTTCACTTATTAATGCCAGTAATCATTTATGCTTATATCATATGATCATTGTATTAATTATCATTGTCCAGGTGTAATATTTTATTTTTATATTATATTTAAGTATTTGTAATAAAAGCAATTTTATGTAATTAGAGTTCAGTTCGTTCAGTTTAGTTTCTAAGTATGGTTTTGCAGATTAAAATTGAAGACACTGTCCAGGGACTTGAGGTTATTTCTTTTTACGATCCGGTCTCGAATACGGTACCATCCGCAAATTTAGTCAATGGCGACGTTACGTCTTCCGTCTCAGTAAGTATGAGGTAGTGCGCGGATTGAGTTTTAGTTTAATTTTTTAGGATAATTCAACCAGTCAGTCAACGGAAAGGCAGCTGACAATTATTGAAAGAATCATTAATTCGATTACCGCCATATCAACCACCGCATCTCCCGACTCGACCACTGTGACCACGACCGCTGGACAGACAACTAAAAGTTCCGCCATATTAAACCTTGTCGCTAAAAGATCCAAAGACGCTAGTTTAGATGTGACCGAAACGACTTTACAAAACAGTACGACTGAAAAACCGACAACCTTAATCGAACAGATACTCAGTTCGCTCTCCGTAATCAGAGCAGATAGTGCAACGATCGACTCGAACCAAGTAGGTACCACTTTAGTATCCACGCAAGCCAGTGCACAATCTTTAGAAATTTTAGGAACGACACCTTTATCTATTAACAATGATGATACCACATTGCTAAGCACAACTTCTGTTTCGAGCACTGCACCCTACACAGAAACCACAAACACCGTAGTGCCTTTAGACGAATTAAACACGATCCCTACACGTGCTGTTGATATCAAACCTCGTTTTCTTTACCCCAATTCTGCTGCTGAAGTAGTTACAACGCCCACAACTGAAGAACCTACTACAGTAGCACCGCGTGCCAATTTTCCAAGTTCAGATTCGTCCACAACTGACGATGGCGATATGGGAATGCTATACACGTCAGCTATTGAAAGTGAAACTGAAAATCCCCAAATAGCTGAAATACTTTCCGCGGTTTCCAATATTGTTGCATCAACTTTGGAACCGTCTAGTACCACCGTTATGCCACCAACGGTGACTGTCCAAGCAAGTCCAATTCCAGAGTCTACAGAACCCACCGTTTTTACTGTAACTGAGTCATCGCAATTCTCTACGTCTGAAATTCAGTCTAGTGCGTCGCCACCTGCGACCACGATCGCTGGGACAACTATGGTTACTGACAGCATTAAAACCGATTCACCAGCATTGCCCCCCGTTTCTTTGTCAAATGCGGATACTACTGTTTCCAGTGCGACAACGGAACAAACAGTATCCATCGAAAACTCTACCACTATAGAAATGTTATCACGGCTCACTGTCACCGATTCCACGGTGACTCAACCTCCATCGAGCTCCCCTAACTCGGATACTACCCCAGAAACTACACCTTCAATTCAAATGCGATCCACACTTTCATCTCAGTTCCCGTACCCAGAACCTACAACTGATTCAACCATTCCTGCTACCGTGACAATCACTGCGTCTTCTCTTCCCGCTTCGTCAACTCAATCTGACCCCGCCATTGCGTTGTCAGTATCTTCTGTGCCTGCAGATGCAACTGTCACGATGACGTCAACAGTCTCGTCGTCTCAATTCCCCTACCCCGCAGCTGCGACTATAACTGTGTCTTCTCCTCGATCAGATGCGACTATGACAACACTATCAACTGGCCCGTCCTCAGCGCCAACGTTAACCATGGTTTCTCTTCCCTCAGATGAAACTGTCACACAATCAACAGTTCCATCGTCTCAGTTCCCTTATCCGGCAAAAACAGCAGACACAGATTTGACGGTTCCGTCGTCAACTACAACGTCAACCATGACTTCTCTTCCTTCAGATGGAAATGTCACCGAATCTGCAGTTGCATCGTCTCAATTCCCTTATCCGGCAAGAACGGCGAACACAGAATCGACGGTTCCGTCGTCATCGCCAACGTCAACCATGATTTCTCTTCCTTCAAATGGAAATGTCACTCAATCAACAGTTCCATCGTCTCAATTCCCGTATCCGGCACAAACAACAGACACAGATTTTTCCGTTCCGTCATCAACGCCGCTTCCCTCAGATGGAACTGTTACTCAATCAACAGTTCCATTGTCGAACGGAGATTTGCCTAGCACAGATACGATGCAACCGATTACCTCACAGTCTCCTGATAGTACAGCAATTCCATCGTCTATTCCCACAGATATGACGTCGGAAACGATTTTAATGCAGCAATCAGCTACGACTCCCCGTAATTTCCCCTATCCATCCGTTTCAAATGATTTAATAGCACAGAGCAGTACAATATCAAAAGTTTCCGTACCACCTAACACAACACCAATAACTACAACCACGACACTTGAACAGAAATCAGACACAGCTACAACAGAAGACTCATCCACAACGCACAGCTTATCAAATTTTAAAGTAAGTCCAGATAGAGTATCCGTCTATTCGCCTAACGACATCTCGAGCACTTTTCTGCCTGACGAATCTGCATTCACAACGGTCTCAATCTCTGGCCGAGTATTAACTACGACTCCCGTTACCAGCTCAACAACTACAACATCAAAACCTTACCCTAACACCGAACCTTCGACCAACACTAAAACCACTGACCAAGACGTCTCCTCTAATACAATCAACACAAATTCAGCTACTGACAAAACTGATGTAACTAATTTAATTAATCAACTGTCCCTAACAACTAACGCAGTTGAATCGAGCACGACCTCAACAACGGCCGACAGCCGCGACGGGCGACGTTTGAGTTTCGAAATTCCGCCAGCGACCAACGATATTTCTGAACCGCCAGAGAAAGACTACTACATTTTTGCCGTGTTGCAAAACAACACAATATTGCGGAAACGTCCGAGTCGTTTTCCAAACAAAAATACGCCATTTTTAATTTACGGCGTCTTGCCCAACAATACTCTGATTCAAAAGTTTCCCAATGGAACGATAGTTCCAATGGAACCGGTGATACAGGTAAATGGATTTGATACGCGCGAATTTCCCCAGACTCCAGCGGAATTAATAAGTAACCAAGTAACAACGAACCAGGAGCCTCAACGGAATAACAAGCCTGTAACGGTACTCACTTTAATCTTCTTTGCGCTTTTCGAGCTTTCTTTTTCATTCTCCATTACCAAATGACATGTTTAGTTGTCCGCTCATTGTTTGTGAAGGGGTGTTTCTAACTTAGGCTGTGCATGCGAACACATCGTAGCGACTAACACATTATCTCAGTTTGCTATTGCCGTAAGAGGCAGGCAAGTGTTTACTAAGTTCCATGTTTCAGATCGAAGCCGAAGCTAATGAGTTATCGGTACGTAGCGGTTCGACTGCGCCATCTCTACCGCCCATTGTCGAACTACTTGGTGGCAAAACCGTCAGTGAGTTTAACAACATCATCAACAAAACCAAAGAAGTGCAGACTTTGAAGGTTGATCCAATGGTAAGTTTTTCATATGCTTATGAAGAAAGGTAGAAATCAAACTGGAAAATCTTCCATAGACAAATCGAGTACTGCTCGACTCAGTTGATTACTCCAAGAACGTTTTGTACCGTTGGAAACCTGTTAGTCGAATTATTGATCTGGATCAACAGGCAAGAGACGCCTTTACTAATTGAAAACTAACTTGACTGACAGTATTAGCTTTCTATTTAAAATTTTACAGTAGTGCCAGGTAAATTATAACGATTTTTCGTTATATAGCTAAAAGTGACGTCTCCGAGCGTTTGTGAAACTTGATGAAAATACCTGTTTTGTTTCCAACGAGCCACATTTTTACAAGCTTCTTTGGTTTTGAGGAACTCTTAGGGGAATAACCACGTTTCTGATAAATGTTGTAATATACTCGTACATGATGTAACAAGTATGCCAACTATTGAAGACCAAAATAAGCATCTTTTTCTAACTGCACCGAGGGATTACTGCACCACAGGTTCCAAAAGGTGTACCTATAGAACGAAATGGTTTCCTAAGTGTTCCGAAAAATTTCAATCACAATTCGTTTCCCGAGGCACGAAAATGGCCAGAATATTATGAAATCCCTTAAAAAAAGTTCGATTTTGATAATCGCCAAATATTCCGAGATACCACATTTTGTCGGGATCAAAAGCTTGTTCGCACCCCCCTTTTCGAACGTCGGAAAGGGCCCACTCAAAAACCTTAAAATTGAGTAAATCTCGAAGTAAATCTATTAATTCCACCCTCGTATTGTTCCATAGAATGTCCTTAGAACCTTTATACATATACTCTCTGGATCATGTACAATCTTCAAAGCCGTTAGAATCCTTACAATCTACTCAGAATTTACTTCGACCCCTTTGGTCATGTTAGAATGTTCTCAGAGCCTCGATAAATGTTCTTTACATCTTTCCGGAATCTTAGAATCTTCCTACAATCCTCTATTACACTATTTTTATTAAGAGCCTCCCTAGAGTTTCTTAGAATCTTCCTACAATCCTCTATTACACTATTTTTATTAAGAGCCTCCCTAGAGTTTACTCACGAGTTTTCATAGAATCGTCGTCGCAGAATCTACTGACATTTTAGAACGCTTTTTTAGAATATCTATAAAATATTCCTTAAAATCCTCTTAAAATTCTCTTCGTAGAATCTTGCATCCTTTGAAATTTTGTAGATCCTTCTTGTGATTTCCTCGATATATCTCAGAAGCAGAAAATCCCACAAAATTATTACGTGCCAGAGGAGGATTCCCTCTAACCGCCCTGCTCAGTTCGAGCCCGAAAACTGGACAAAGTGAGTATAATACGGATCGTAATGAAAAATATACTTTTTTGCTTATTCTTGGGCCCTTCTTTATCCCCTTGCTGGCAACCTGCGTGGCTCTTGAGAAGCACTCCTGATTGCTAAGAAGATAATATCAAATCGACACGATTGAATTTGATAACTCCCGAAAGTGAATTCCACTAAGTACCACTCCCTGTTTTTGGAAAACATAGTTGACTGAAATTAAGGACGGTTATCCCAAGACACTACTGTAACATTTTATATAAAAGTATTAGTTGTTGCCTATTCACAAGATTCCTAATTTGTAGTAACAATTGAATTGCGAAAAAAGGGAATACGGGAAACTACGTGACGGAAAATTTGTTCTGGAGCTGATTTTGTTTGGTTGCCTATAAAATAAGAATGATTCTTAACATTCCTTGAATCGTCGCACGCTCTAATTGTCTGCTATTCACTTTCGTGTGATAAGATCCTAAGATTTTAATAATTCCGTCTTGTTAGCTTGAGAGCAGATCAACAAAAACCGATGCCCCCAGTACATCAAGCACCACAGTTACAACCACAACAACTTCAGCACCGTTCACATCTCCACCTGAAACTACAACAGTGACTTCCACTTCAACGTCGACTGCATCAACCACTACATCAACGACTGCATCAACCACTACATCAACGACTACATCAACGACTGCATCAACGACTGCATCAACGACTGCAGAAACTACAATGCCAGCTCTAACAACAGAACAAACAACTTCAATTGCAGAGATTGATGTGGAGGCAAACGCTTTGGGACTTTCAATATCGGCCGATCCACCGACAACTCAGACTCCCCCGCCTTTTACGTTAATGGATTTGCTAACGAACGCGACCATACCGCCAACGTCCACCGTCGTATCGGTTCAAGATCTCAAAGTAGATGAAAGCAAACTTACCGATCAACAGCGACAAGACTGGGAGATCCTCAAAGCTTTGGAAAAAGAGCAGGAGGCAATTCTCAAGCAACTTGAATTCTTGACCAGGCTGGTGAGTAATATAGTCGTAGTCGGAGAATAAATTTTGAGGTTACTTTCAGAACTTGGGCGGAACAAAATCAGGGAATAGTGGTGGTTTGGCCAACAGGGTATGCGTTTGATAGGGAGTTGACGAATGTGAGTTCATCTGTACTTGTAGGTTGTTGCTCAAGCCGTCGAGAATGACAATCGCCAATCCAAGAAACTCTCCGAGCCATCGAGCGATGAAAAATTAGGAAATGAAATTAGTACTTCTACGAGCCCGATCGTTCCGTCGACGTACGGCAAAAGTAATGACGCGTTGTTGGCGTCGCTCCTTAAAGAATACGGCGTTGGTCCTACCACTCCAAAAGGTTTTTCGGTTCGTATTACTACGATAAAATATACCGGTTGTAAGTAATTAGTTTATTACAGGATGCTTTCAGTAAAGCACTACTAACAACGACAAAACCACCCACTAGAAAACCAACGACTCAGGCCCCCGGTCCATTGATGCAGGGCTTGAATTGGTTATTAAACACTTTAGCACCACAAGCGACTCCCAAATCGAAACCAAAACCGACGACTCCTAAACCAATCAGAACAGAACCGCCTTCTGTGGTACCGCAATTAAAACCTAGAAGTCCGATGATTACTGATAAACACCTCGAAATGCTCATTCAGCAACTGGAAGCAATCCAAAAAGATCCTAAGAAAGCCAAAAATTTAGACATCGAAGCTCTACGAAAGCTTCAAACTATGAGTCGAATTATGGCGACCACTACGGCAAAATCGCCTATTGAAAATGAAATTACGCCCGTTCTTATCAACCGAGGAAGCCTAGGACTAGCGAGCGCTCCTCTCCCATTGAGCGTAACCAACAATTTAGACGACGCAACAACAAAAGCTACCACCACCACGACCAGCCAATCTCGTATACCACCCGTCAAACTGAATCCAGTTCCAGGTGTTCCCGACGAGAGTCCAATGATACGAGGACAACTGGTCAACTACGCTATTAACATTACCAAAGCAATTTCGTCCTTCTTGGGGACGGCGTTACAGGTAACGTACTTGTAAAGCTCACTTGGAGGGATTAGTAATTATCTACCCCATCTCTTGTGTTTATTTCTAGGACGCATCCAATCGATTCGTGAATATTGTTTCGAGCGGTTCGGGAAACAATTTATTTAACTCAAGTTTTGACGGAAGCGCGTTGCCAAGCTCGTCTAGCGGTTAAGGTTGTTAAAATTTTACGAACTCTCCATGGTTTCATACTATCAAAGCACACTTTATCTGTGCTCTCCATTCATGCTTCAAATACGACCTCATCTATTTTCACTTTGGTTAGGTATATTATGCACTTTCAGAATGCAAAGTCGGTGAATGGCATTCCAAACCAGTTTTTCGAATTTCATTTCGCTCTACTTACACTCCAAAACTGGAAGATAGTCCTTCATCTACCGTTTTGATCACATTAGGCTAACAGCAAATCGCTTCTTTACTAATTTTCGCAAACCTACAATTTGCGCTCGTATTTTTACCGCAAACAAAAACTGGAATCTAATTTACTAAATTTCTAGGGCGCAGCAAGTAGATTTCAATCATTTATCGGATTCGTATCAAGGACTAATTGATCAAATCGACCAGGATGAACATAAAAACGTGTGCTATATTTAGATAAAATTATTTATTATCCAATTTGCATCTTTTTTTTTGTTGTTATTAGACGAATTTGCTAGATTGTTACGCGTATGTTATAATTATTCGTCACCTTAAATTAATTCAGGTGTGCGAACAATTCAGATTCCTATTTGTGAAACAGTCTGAATGTTATTTTTATGTTATTTATAACTCTTTTTATATTGACTGTACTTAGCTAATAAATACTTATGTAAGAATACCAGCTGATAAAAAATACTCATTATGTTTGCTCTAATTTTTATGGTAATTTTAAGAGTTAGTCAGATTTGTAGGTATTTGATTAGTTTATATTTATTGTTGATTGTAATTATTTAAGTAATCATATTGTAAATAATGTTTGTATAAATATAGCAGTAATTAGTTTTTAATAAATTCTTTTCTTGTTTCCGACTAAAGACAATTAAAAATGAGTGTGGTTTTCTATTTATCGACAGCAATACGGTTTCCAAAAAAAGTTTACTCAATATTAGCTCATTATAAAAAAAACATATCTTCGTAGAAGCACGCATCAAATTAAATTACGTATAAACGAATTTATAAATAGACTGTCGTGACATAACTTAATTTTCTAAGGTCACCATCGACCCAGTTCCAAGTAAAAAGATATTCACTAATCACTTGGTCTGGACTGTCTGGAGCATGTCACACCCTATTGGAACCAGAGCTGGGCAGAATACTTTCAAAAAGTATTTGAATGCTAAATACTTTTACGTCCAGCACAAGCGAATACTAGATACAGATACATTGAAAAGTATTCAAATATTTTAGAATGTATTCGAATACCTTCAAAAGTATTCTAATACTATCAAAGGTATTCGAATACTATAAAAAGTATTCGAATACTTTGAAAAGTATTCGAATGCAGTAAAAAGTATTCAAATACTTGTCACTCTAATACATTAAAAATTTAAAATAGTAATATACTAGATAAAAGTCTTAATACTACTTAAAAAATCAAGTTATACTTTGTATAGGGTTAGGTAGACTATCGAGTCAAAAAGTTTCACTCCAGGATCGTTCGGTATTCAGTTGTATCGGGTTTTTATATTTGATTTTGACAATGGTAACTTTCCCTTAACATTTCTAAATTGTTCTCAAATATTTGAATAACATAAAAGTACTGCCTTTTTTTGAGGCCGGAAAAAAAATTGTCGGAGATCGACCGGCATTTTCTTATAGAATTTGGCTCGTAGAATCCATAATTTCAAACAGTTTGAAGATTGGGCTACTAGATCAAAAGTTACAGCCCTTTGAATTTTTTTTTCGAAATTTGTTTTTTGTCCATCACTTTTTATTGAAAGGTCTAATCGAAAAAGTACGAATCGTTTTGGATTCTACGCACCACAATTAATAAGAAAAAGTGTTTTCCCGAGAAATTTTGGTGTAGTCGACTTTTGGTAAAAAACGAAGGTTATATATACACTGCCTTTTTTTTGAGGCCCGAAAAAAAAATTGTGAATGTGGCCTGTAGAATCCATAATTTCAAACAGTTCCAAGATTGGGCTACTAGTCCAAAAGTTACAGCCCTTTGAATTTTCTTTCGAAATTGGTTTCTAGTCTATAACTTTTGATTGAGAAGTCTGATCGCAAAAGTACGAAATGTTTTGGATCCTACGCACCAAAATTAATAAGAAAAAGTGTTTTCCCGAGAAATTTTGGTATAGTCGATTTTTGGTAAAAAAGGAAGGTTATACACTGCCTTGTTTTAAGGCTTGAAAAAAAAATTGTCTCAGATCGACCCGGAAAAAAAATTTTCTTATAGAATGTTGCCTGTAGAATCCATAATTTCAAACAGTTCCAAGATTGGGCTACTAGATCAAAAGTTACAGCCCTATGAATTTTCTTTCGAAATTGGTTTCTAGTCTATAACTTTTGATTGAGAAGTCTGATCGAAAAAGTACGAATTGTTTTGGATTCTACGCACCAAAATTAATAAGAAAAAGTGTTTTCGCGAGAAATTTTGGTGTAGTTGATTTTTGGTAAAAAAGGAAGCTTAAGTATTCAATATGCGAAGTATTCGAATACTAAATATTTGTGAAAGTATTTGAGTTACAAATACAAATACTGCTTCCATAAAAGTATTTAATTACAAAGTATTTGAATACTTTAAAGGATTTGAATACTAAAAAGTATTTACAAATCGAATACTGCCCAGCTCTGATTGGAACCCTATCATTCCACACATCCAATATTTTGGAGAGATCAATGAATTGTGAATTAGGGGCGTTCGAAGGAAATGGTCAGTCTGTGAAGAAGGTAAGTTAAAGATCCTTAATGACTCCATTCTTGGTAAGTTTGTTAGTGTTTTCGATTTCTACAATCTTACAAATTATAAAAAAAACTGGTCAGAAAATATGTAAATACAAACATCACGACTAAGAGACAGTACACTGAAAGCTCAGATAGAAATAAAGTGGTTGCAAATTTCCTTTTTTTATTGCAAAATATTCCTAGCCGAATGCAGTTGTTAGTCAAGCAGGGCTCTATTTAAAGACAGAAGCGGGCGCCCTTTTTGAAAAACTATGTAACGTTCTTTAAATGGACCACCCATATTTTATTGTAGATTTGGGAAGTACTTATTTTTTTATACCCTGAACTCAGAGCTGGGCAGAATACTTTCAAAAAGTATTTGAAGGACCACACCGTATATTTGTGCAGTCGACCAGCTTTGCTGAACACCCGGTATCTAGAAGCGTATTAAGTTGGCCGTTTCGTTAGTAAGTAGTTTCTGAATTTACTTATTTGCTCTAGGAGATGAGGAGTGAGCTTTGTGTGTTTTCATTTTGTTTAATTGATTGTCTTACTACCGATAACGCACGTAAGTTAATTAGTGAATTTATCAGTTTTGCAGTCGTTCCTGCAGGAATATTTTAACTGATTTTACAGCCACCGAAGCTCTCTTGCCAGAGCAGAAAAAGGCAAATTTATATTTTAGAATTTGAGACATTATCAGATTTTGTTTTCTATCGTATTTTTAAAGCGAGCATTGAAACTGCAAGGCCATGCCAGTTTAGACGTTATCAGTCTGATAATGCCGATTCCGTTGATCCTGACATTCAATCGACAATGGGCCGACAATCGCTATGAGCCCAGTCTCATCTTTTTCCGTTGATCCCCGAGCGCGTAGTTAATTAAAGAAATTTAAATTTCCCCCCCCCCCCCCCCACTCCTCATCCATGAATCCGGACGCATTTCCCCAACATAAACGCTAAAACGAAAATCGTAGGAAATTACGACAGTGGAAAAATGTGGAAGATCAAGCAGATGATTAATCCATAATAATATGGAGTCGTATTGTGCACTAACACACAAAGAAAATCATCTCAAAGTAAGCGTTTGTGGGAGTGAGGGAGAGAGGGGCTAGTCCCTCAATGTAAGAAAGTGGGTACCTGATTTTTGCCTTGTGAAAAGAGGGTGCAAAATTATAGGAGAGCAAAAACAAATATTATTTTTTAATTTAGTAAAGCCGATGGTTCAAAATGATTCATTTCATTCATTTGCACAGTAAATTTCATAAAATTGTAGGTATATTTGTGGTCCATACAAAAAATATAGTTGGAATCATTGCTACGTTCTATGGGACACCGCTTTAAAAGGCCTTAAAACATCGAATCACGCAAATTTTCAGAACTAATGTTGGAGATTATTATCATGTACAAAATACGCACATTCCAAAAAGCTCATTATGTCAGGAATGATCTTTTACCTTAGCAACCCCCTCTGGCTGACAGTTACTGCCCAGAAACCGAGAAAAGAAACGGTGGTTTTGTTATAGTTATTTTGTAATGATTTACAAGTGGACTGTCACTTTCCATTTTCTCCACAGTTGACGGACTTGTATAGCAAAAAAAAATGTTTAGTTTGAAAGGTTTGTCGCATATTGCACACATGGTTATGCAGTTGTTGCTTTTTTCGTTCCACACAGTGACAAACCGATGAAACCGATGGGTACAAATTATTTTTGTGCCTCTTTACTGACCAAGCTTAGGGTATAACTTCAATGTTTTTCAAATCAAATCGAATTTAGTGCAATACGAATTCAATTTCCGACTCTTTGGTAAAATTGTAAGTGATCCCAAACCTGCTACAAGAGACCATGTTGATGCTAATCAGCTATGATGCTCTGTAAATGAAGTAATTGTACAACGAGTTACTGATTAAAAAGATATAAAAGTGATTTATTCCCTCAGTTTTGCAATGCACGAAGTAAAACAATAAAAATTGCAAAACTTGCAGTAGTTACAAAGCACTTAAGAATATTAATTTATTAATCGAAGCAGTCGTGAAATCCTTGAGTTTCCTACCTACCTTAAGGATGATAATAACTTAGGCAACTTTTCAATTTACAGTCAATTAACAAAAATATAGTAATTTTCCAGCAAGTATGAGTTGTTAATAGGTACGGGAATTTAGTTATAAGAAAATTTTAAAATCAGCGCGAAAAACCCAAACCAGGTTGTCAATAAATCAACATTACCAAGTAATATCAATACCGTTACATACACTTACATGCAATTATTGTTAAAATGAAGCAAGCATATTTTAACTGTATTATTAATAATTAGTCATGGACGACAAAGCATTCTTGCTGCATTACTTTGTTGTATGCACTTTACGTCATTTGAACAATATGGTTGTCGTTAAGATTGACGTCAGTGGATTAAAAAAAAGTATGTGAAAGTCTGTTCGGCCCTGCGTGTATTAATCTGGTTAATGACTCTCGCTTTTTGTTAGGTTTTATTAATTCATAGATACACGTTTCGTGTCGTAACGAGAAAGCGCGTTATTTTTCGTTTCCGTCGAGACCGACAAAAAAAGAAAAAATGAATTAAATCCCTGCGGAGATACCACAAGTTGTGTCACTTGGACATCTGGAAACCTTTGAAAATTAAAACAATAATTTTGGTTTATTTTTAAAAATTACAAAAATAATTTTAAACCATAAGAATTTATTAACAGCGCTGGCATAGTATATTAGAGCATAAGTTGCACAAGGCGCTATATTCTAGCACGAGTTCAAGTTTCGAACCTAAGCCAAATTTCTCGGGAAAGCACTCTCTTTCTTATTAATTTTGGTGCGTAGAATCCAAAACAATTCGTACTTTTTCGATCAGACTTCTCAATAAAAAGTTATAGACCAGAAACCAATTTGGAAAAGGAAATTCAAAGGGCTGTAACTTTTGAACTAGTAGCCCAATCTTGGAACTGTTTGAAATTATGGATTCTACAGGCCACATTCTA